GCAAACATCTGTGTCTCCAGGAAACGGGACAGAAAAGGTAGGTAGGGCTCGGGCTGGTCAGACAGGAAGGAGGCCTACACACAAACACATGTATAAAAATATTAAAGGCAATTTAGAATGAAATGGTAAACCCTTGTTTAGTGCAGTGGAATATTTGAAGTGATTACATTCAGGCCTTTGGGAAGTCAGTAATTCACATACACAATATGATCACTTCAACGTTGACCTTATATAGCAAGGGCATGACCGATGAACGGCGCTCAAGCAGGAGTTCACTGTGCAATTATTCTTTGAAAAATCTGCAGCATCTCACCTTGTCAAAGTTCTGCATCTGGTCTCGATTGGTGAACCAGGACTCCTTGTCTTGGCTCGGCTGGATCCCCAACACCTCGTAGTCAGCCAACTAGTCAGCAAACATCTGGGTGAAGCGGTTGGCGAAGACCTCACGCACGTGGATGTTGAGCTGGTGCATCTTCAGCTCCTCCTCATCACAATGAAATCGTGGGTCCTTATTGCCGCTGGCATCCTCTCGAACTTCAAGCTGATGTGCATACGTGCATGTGTGAAAAGCAAATCAACTCCAGCACTGAAATAATCACTCAATAACTAAAAGATGTAACAGTAGCAGAGCATACATCAGTGCTTTGTTGCCTCAACTGAAAGTCAGCATTGAGTGATTCAGACAAAGCTGTCAAGTCATCTTTTAATTTGTAAATGATCCTTCCACTTATCTTGATATAATTGCTTTTAAGATTAAATGCTACATCTTTATGAGACAAACACAAGAGACGATTCAAATGGATAAAGATACAAGTATAAGCATTATGTATGTTGACAGGAGAACTCTTGTCAATGGATATAACGCCATCCGGTGTGGCCCATTCACCTAATGGATAACACGTCCTAAATTTGTATTGCTTGGCGTCTGCACCTGGAATTTCCATGTACATTTTAATCTTATTCCAAATAAATACAAGAAAACAAGTAAAACTTTTTTTCTTGTATTGAAAACACTTTCCTGAAGGTAAACACTTCATCTGGACTTTGTGTTAACGATGGTGTGAGCATGCGGACCTTATCGACCCGGGTGTCAAACACCCTCAGCGTATGCTCCTTGTCCTCGTCGTCATGGCAGAGGATCTTGCTGTCGATGAAGGAAGTTACTGCAATGTGTGTGGGTGTGTATTTTTTTTAAGTAGCTAACTCAACTTAAAAAGCATGTTCACTCATCGAGATGTGTTCTGAACGGAGCATGGTTATCAGACAGAGGAAATTTTATTATGATGGAAAGTGTCATCTATTATCTATTAATTAAGGACTTGGACATTTTTTTTAATCGAAAAGTTGTTTTAAAACACAGTTGAACGTTGTAACATTTTTCCATAGCCTGTAAAATGAAAGATATAGCATATCAATTTGATTGGTTTGCTTGCGCTTTTTAAAGAATAAAACATGTCATGTCCAACCTTCTCCAAACTAACGCCTGTCCTCTTGACCAGAGCCTGTAGTCTGGCGATGGTTACATTCTCCCTCAGCAAGTAAGAGTTGAGAGGCGACGCCAGGTTGCCGTTGCGTTTGTCGGAGACAGCGTCGGCTGATCGCAAGCCTCTGTGCTTGACTTGCGTGTCTGTCGAGTGGATGTTTCCTTCCGGTGTCATGCCGAAGGACACAAGCACCTCCGAGATCTCTTGTATGAATTCAAGCTTGTTGGGAAACTGCGGCAACTCTTCTGGAAGTTCTATAAAGTGGTTGTCGATGTCCACAAAACACAAGTTGGCCTGAAGGGACACGGGAAACAAAAAATGTAGTAGACATTCTAATAACTGGCACAGAAATTAAGGTCACTGACAAATTAATGCAAGTGTAGACATAATAGTTCCCTCGTGTCGCGTAAAAAAGAAAGGACAATAGATTGGGACACAATGCTAAGAGTAATAGCTGACCTTGAAATACTGTACTCCTGTGCATTGAGAGTTATTTGTACGTTTTAAAATGAAAAAAAACATCTGGAGGAACCTTTAAAGAGCTGAATATGCAAGAATGTGAATGACGAAACTGTCGTAGTAGTGCTAGTAAAGCAAAGAGCCCATACTGTGATTTGAAAATGTAAGTTGCACATTGAGTGCGCAGTTAATATATTTTTGAAGACCTTTTTTCCCAACACTGTCATAAAATCGATGTATTTCTCTCATGTTTTTTAAATCTGAAGTCGAACAGCTTGTAGGACCGGATGGAGTCCCAACTTTGAGGCTCCAATATGGAAAGGCATTCAAGCATTGATTCAATATTCCTGATATGTAGCTTAAGGTCCATGAAGTAGTATGCAATTTACATTTACATTTTATTATGACGCTTTTGATATTTTTGTTCCGGTTTGCTTTTTGATTTGATTTGATTAGTAGGTCAAAGGTACGGCTCGCAATTTAAAAAAAAGGCATCGACAAAATAATTTTTTTGTAAGATCCTTCCTTTTGCACAGACAGTTTAACCCATGTGCTGCAGTCGATCTAAATAAGTTTATATAACGCAACATACAATTTTACAAAAATTGTAAAAGTATTATTCCTGAATATTTATTTCACTTTCAACCACTCGACATGTTCAGTGGCATCAGTGCTATACATACACATAGAGTTCTTATTTTTTTCTTTGTATTTTTGCCCTCTATGACAATGCACCTCCGAGATCTCTTGTATGAATTCAAGCTTGTTGGGAAACTGCGGCAACTCTTCTGGAAGTTCTATAAAGTGGTTGTCGATGTCCACAAAACACAAGTTGGCCTGAAGGGACACGGGAAACAAAAAATGTAGTAGACATTCTAATAACTGGCACAGAAATTAAGGTCACTGACAAATTAATGCAGGTGTAAACATAATAGTTCCCGCGTGTCGCATAAAAAAGAAAGGACAATAGATTGGGACACAATGCTAAGAGTAATAGCTGACCTTGAAATACTGTACTCCTGTGCATTGAGAGTTATTTGCACATTTTAAAATGAAAAAAAACCATCTGGAGGAACCTTTAAAGAGCTCAATATGCAAGAATGTGAATGACGAAACTGTCGTAGTAGTGCTAGTAAAGCAAAGTATTACATGTTTAATGAATACAATTTAAAACCCATTTAAACTAGGGCTGCACGATATTGGAAAAATCATATTGCAATATTTATATTACTGCTGTGTTTAACATGTACCAAAAGAAAAAAAAAACTTTTTTTTTCATTCGGGAAAATAAGAAGGCTCAACTAGTAGGTAAGTAATAAATGTAACAACTCACAAAATGAAAAAAAACCATCTGGAGGAACCTTTAAAGAGCTCAATATGCAAGAATGTGAATGACGAAACTGTCGTAGTAGTGCTAGTAAAGCAAAGAGCCCATACTGTGATTTGAAAATGTAAGTTGCACATTGAGTGCGCAGTTAATATATTTTTGAAGACCTTTTTTCCCAACACTGTCATAAAATCGATGTGTTTGTCTAATGTTTTTAAATCTGAAGTCGAACAGCTTGTAGGACCGGATGGAGTCCCAACTTTGAGGCTCCAATATGGAAAGGCATTCAAGCATTGATTCAATATTCCTGATATGTAGCTTACGGTCCATATTTGTGTAGGACAAAACGTTCCATCTCATATATGAAGGTACTTGGGCACAGAGCCAAAGTGAAGGATGTGCATATTGACAGCTGGAACAAATGGACACAACCAGGGTGGACGCTGATGTGGTCAAGTTACATGTCACGCGTCACACATGATTATGAGATGTACAGTCAAAACACTATGCAGAGCTGTTATAAAGCTAGCTTTGTTCTGGTCAGTCCAAACAAGTGATGCGACATAACGGTGGGGTGAGAGAGTATGTACCTCCTGCGGCAACTCTAGCTTGGTGCGGTCATCCTGTCCATTTGAGTGCAGGCCCATGAGATATGGAACAGGGGCGTCCAGGAAGTGGAGGAGAGAGGCAGGCAGAATTGGAACATACACGTGCTGCCACTGGTAGGGGAACATTAAGGCTGTGATGCTCTCTGCAACTGTCATCAGCCTCTGGTAATCTGTTTGTGACGCAGAGAAAACAGATCAGTGAGAGCCGTCCAAATGAGAGTAGTCTTTCATTAAGAATGAATAAAAGATATCCACCATGTACATATAACAGAATTTTGACAGCCCGTACAACAGTAAATGTGCCGCTCCACCGAATTGGTGCCATTCGCGGCAACAGGAAATACAATGAAACGCACGACAAAACTAACTGTAAAAGTGTCCTGAATATTGATTTCATTACATGTTTAATGAATACAATTTAAAACCCATTTAAACTAGGGCTGCACGATATTGGAAAAATCATATTGCAATATTTATATTACTGCTATGTTTAACATGTACCGAAAGAAAAAAAACAAAACTTTTTTTTCATGCGGGAAAATAAGAAGGCTCAACTAGTAAGTAAGTAATAAATGTAACAACTCACAATTTATTATACACACACACACACACACACACACACACACACACACACACACACACACACACACACACACACACACACACACACGATAATCATTTAAATCCTTTAGAACTCTGATAGCCTTATCCCAACTTTATTTCAAATTACATTTCCTTAAAACAACAACAATGTAATTTGAATTCACATGTTAATCATGTCCCTGGGTCTCACTTATTGATTCACATGGAAAAGACAAAGGTCACAAGCTGAATTAGTTCTCTTTGCGGAATAGATAACACTTCCAGGCTGGTGCCCTTGGGAATAGTCTCTGAAGTGTGACAGCCAAATTCAGCTGACCCTCCAAGCTCATGACCAATTCCCTGTTTGTAACTTCACACATCACCACTGATTCGTGGTCATGGTTTCGCTGCAGTCAAGTGGTCCACACACGAATACGTGTCTGCTCCTCCTCATTCACATTCCTGTACTGTCCTGTTGACAGCTACTACACAGCGCTGCCTTTCCTCTTATGGTGACAGACCAAATACCCTTCCTTCATTTGGTCATGTGCTGGTTGTACACAAGACAAGATTGCAACTTCGAAACGAGATTCCGCTCTCAGGAGCGATACTAAAATACTAACATGACCCACTTTTCCTTTGACAAGGCCACAAGGACAACAACCACTTCACTTCTGTTGCTAAATATATATTTTTAATGTGATTTATAAGGTGCAAACTTCTAGGCCACTCCATATAGTACCATTTCACAATCCAATAAAATGCTCAGTTTTGACTGACCTTTTAGAGATCCTATCAAGTTACAAGGCAGTGGCAAAATCTTAGAATCACCTCTCGGTATGACACAGCACAGTTCTACCCACTGAAGTTCCTCTGCAAAGATAGCTTTGTTGACCTCGGCATGCGTTAACTTCCCTTCTACATTTTTTTTTTTGATGCATCAACATGGAAATTTTACGAGTGGGTGCCCTTTCAGGGATGTCCTGACTACGTTTTGGGGTTTTTTTTTTTTGATGCGTCAACATGGAAATTTTACGAGTGGGTGTCCTTTCAGGGATGTCCTGACTACGTTTTGGGGACAACCCACACAGCTACATCATAAAAAAAAAATATTTTGATAAACCCAAGAAGATTTTGATCTCAATGGTGAAATTGGTGAATTGGGGACAACCCACACAGCTACATCATAAAAAAAATATTGTGATAAACCCAAGAAGATTTTGATCTCAACGGTGAAATTGGTGAATCATACCTAAACTGAATATGTCAGAAGCTGTGATGTCAAACAGGGTTTCGCTTTGTCACGGCGCGTATATTGATGTCAAATGTCATTAGAAAAGGGGGACAATTAGATACGCTGGAGTACAAAGGATGAAGAAGGTTAAGTATGACGCAGAAGACCTCTGACAGTTTTAGACGTGTTATTTTTTTGCAGATGACCAATATTTGCATCTCTGCTGAGGTTTGGCCATTTTGACTTTTCTTGTTGTCTTTAAGAATCTTCATTATATTGTTCAAGGACACCTACTGAAGTTGGTTTTCTTACACGTCAAACTATTTGGTAGCAACTACATATTGTACACCATTTTCACATGCCCACAGCTCTCCAATTGACATTGTAGCAGCATTGCAAGAATGCTGCCTGAAAAGACATTTCTCTAAAGTTCAGCACCGGTTTGAGAGGCTTGAATGGCCATCACACCCCTACAATGCCTAGTTCATTTTCATGTAAACGGGACAGAAGTTTTTGCCGGACAGCAAATTTGACATGGTGCTCAAAGTCAATGAGGGGAGCCAGGCGAAAGGGAAAGATGTGCTTAAAAAAACCCTGTCAAAATTGTCAAATGCTGATGGCATCACATCGGTGTGAATGAAACCTAATACGAAATAGAAAGAGTAAATGTACTTTTGGGACACTGTGTTGATCCCTCCCGTCACTCACTTTTCTGCGAAAACAAAAAAAGCAGAAGTAGGCAATAACGTGACCTTAACTGCAACATAGTACAATGCTTGACACATGAACAGCACAGGATGATGCATCCCTTGACAGATTGGGTAAACGGATCATTGGAAAGATGCTGACCACAATTTTAACCAATTATGAATCCCAGTGTCATGTAAAGCCTCATTGTCGTCTCCTTGTTGTAAAGCATCCATTTTAATAGCATGAATGTTGATGCGCGGTGTTTCCTCCAAACAAATCTTTTAGTCCTTCCCGGTGGAGTAATGCCAGTCGACACCCTTCACACGTTCCGTGGCTCTCTCATGGGATAGAGGGCATGATGTCACCTCCAACCAATGATAATCATCCTGCATCCTGGCTATCCTCCCTGTCTAGAGGTTGCCTAGCAACACCACAGCTTTCCCTTTCAAAAGCTTCTCACCCAGCTCATGGCGTTTTATAAACCATTTGCCCTCCTCTTACTATTGTAATGGATCCAAACACCACTCCACATCTAGCGCACTCTCTAAAAAGCCCTCTTTGCTCAGCAAATAATTGACTTACTCTTGCATGAGAAACTACCCACCAACAAGGTTTAAGAGATCAAAATGTTACCTCGAAGATTTCGAAGTACAGGTATGTGCATGCAGCATCACCATCTAGTACATAAAAACCTCTGACTAAAATGGGCGAGGGTCGTGGTATGATACAAGCTCGCACTCAAACTGCATTACTTGAATGGACACTTAGTAGGTTATGTAACACTAGTAACAACATGTATATCAAATATTTGCCAGCGCCTTGGGTCTATTTCATTTACATATTAAAAAAAAAAAGAAGACATCTACCAAATTGTTAATACCTCACACAGTGTCAATTAAAAAGGTTTTAAAAAAAGTGTCGAGACAGAATCCTTGATACCACTTTACAGTAAGTGTGGTTCGGTAAAGATTTCGAAATTGTTTATCAGTGGGTTAATAATTCAAGAGTTTAAATGGCATGAAGCATTAATTTTCAACAATACTTGGTTGATTATTTGGTTCGGGTTATTCTTGACAGTTATCCTGTGGCCACTGTCGACTGGTAACATCTTATATCATCTTAACAGAGCCTTATGAAGTAAGAAACATCATTAAAAGGCTGCTGGAAAGAGAGGGGAAAAAAAATAAGCAAATAAGTGGAGCTAAATGTCAGCTAACAATTTGACAAGCGGGCTTTTAACTACTTAATGGCTTGTATAGAGAATGTATAAAGCTGTATTAAGGGTTTCCTTTAAGTCATTGAATACCTGTAAATGTTATTTGTATAGGATTATCACAGAGAGGACTCACAAAGTGCTTATTACAAAATCACAAAGTTCATGCAGTCAATACAAGATTTTTTTTTCTTTTCTTAAACAATTGTAAAACGGTTCAGGATAAAAATCTCTATTCACAACTGCTACATTTACAGTGACTCTGTCACTGAAATATTCACATTGAGCAGCATTTATTATTGTGGTCGTAGTTTGCAGTGGTTAAAGTTTTATCATCTGAATGAAACTGACCAGTGTTCTTTTCTGAACTATTCTAAAACAGTGGTGCCTTGAGATATGAATAATCAGACTTAAACGAGTCTTTTGACATAAGAGCTGTCAATTATTTGCATTGACTTGCAAGTTAAACATTTGAGATAAGAGTGCTGCACGGTAGCAATGAAGCAATACTTTGGCAGATAGTGAACAATTTTTTTGAAAGGGTTCTTGATGCTTAATGCTGACCATCATTTGACGTTTATGGCAAAATGAAACTAAGATTTACAGACTGTGTGTTTCAAACAACCACACTTGTTTGCCTTCCGTTAGCTTAATGCTAAAAAAAAACAATGCAAAAGAGCATAGAAAGGCTAACGAGACTTTCGGTCAAGAGAATACATTTTGCACCACACCATTTTGCTCTGTGCCGCTGTTGATTCATTCATAAATACTGGAAGAAAAGCTGAGGGGGTGCACATGTGGCGGCTGTGTTACTTACGCTGTGAGTAGAGCAGTATCTGCATCTCGAGCAGGGCACAGGTGAACAACTGTAGAACGTTCTCCACCCCCAGCAGGTTAAACATTTCACCAATGGCAAAGTCAAAGAGCGGAAGTTCTGATGTGCTCGGCCTCTGGCACACCACAGGACCGTAAACGCCTGAGAACTTTAGGGATCTCCCAGAGGGTGGCAGGGGCACCTCATAGAGGATGTTGAAGACGTAGCTCTCCAGCGGGAGAGGTGGGGGATGGGGCGAGGTGACGGCTTGGTAAAGTTGCTGCAGCACCTTTTGGCATGCTTGGGCAAAGGCCATGGGTGTTATCAAGCAGATGCACTTTGACACGTACAGCGTGTCTCGACTGATGTCATACGAATTGAAACGTTGCAGACGAGAGATGGCCGGCGCGGCGTGGAGGATGGGCCGAGACTGAGTGTGGGGGTGATGGAGTCGCGGCTCGTCGGGTCCACGAGGGGACGTAGGGGTATGCAAGATGTCATACTGCTCGGCATTGTGCATGTGGTAAAGAGTCTGCATGGCGCTGCAGATTTGCTGACTGGTCACCTCCTCGAAGAAGGTGAGAGCAAATCCGTACGTCCGAGAGCCGTCCTCCCTGGTGATGATGAACGAGTGAAAGTGCGGCTCCCGGGTGTCCACCTGCGTCCTGAAGGCTAAACCTTTTGGCATACAGAGCTGCAGGACGACGGAGAAAGGATGTTAGTGTCATTAAATTGTAGGGCTGAACGATTTTGAAAAATGATCAAATTGCTTGGGTTATTTTTGCTCAATACTGCGAATGCAATTTAACATGAGGGTACTGTATTACTTTTTCAAGGTCTTGTTGTCATGTATTTTTTACAAACACAAGCAATACATCAACCTGTATTACCATAAACAATATCAGATTTATTATACAGAAATGATTTGTCTCATAGGTTTGGTTTACACTAAAATATAACCATGCATTAATATAAGAGTTTATTTATCTACTTCAATTAGAGTTGTTAATTTACTTTCACTCGCAGTCTTTTAAATAGTCACTTAAAACGGATAAAAGTTCTACCAAACAAGTGTAGCGTAAACATAAGTCAGTAAGTAATAAGTCAGATGACAACAACATTGCAAACAAATGTGCGAAACCATGAAAGTGTCTGTGATTTGTGATTGCATAAGTGAGTCAGGGGTAAGGCGACTCGACTGGAAGGAGCAAGAAGATTCTGATTCTTGTCTGCAGGGTGAAGGCTTAAGCCAAACACTGATTTTGTTCCCAACTTTTATGGGCAGAATTTCCAGGTGCAGTCAAGTCATTGACGGTGTCTGGATTAGTGACCTCAGTGTTACATCCTTCTTTTTTGCTGAGGATGTGGTTCTGTTGGAGTCATCAAGCTGCAAACTTCAACTCTCATTGGAGCAGTTCGCAACCGCGGAACAAGAGGCAGGGATACGCGCTGAGTAATTTGTAAACAACAGTCGGCTGGAAGCGGAATTGATGACTGCATGATGGATGTTGGCAGCTAGTATCAAGCTGCCCAGAAAGTTGGATGAACACCATTTAGCTGGTAAAAAGAATGATTCCAAAATATGTTAAAATTGTCAATAAAAGCAATATCGAGATTACCACCAAGTGCGTATGAGCCATGTAGTCAGGCTTAAATGGTTACTGAAGCACTCGATGCCGCGGGATAGTGTCGGTAAAATGCCGCTGATCCAGACTGACAGCCCGCAAGTTCTCAGCAAGGCAAAGAGGGCATGCAAGTCTCTTTTCATCAGCTCCGACTGTCGATGTGCTCTCTCGTTCGTCCCCACGTGGACAATGAGCCAGGATATGGATGGTGAAAGTGAGTCAAGAAGACCAGACAGAATGTTTACTATGTCCATAACTTTGGCTCAGCGGATTACAGTATTGTAATAATGACTGCATCTAATGATGCTGCCCCAGACTACAATGGTAGTTGGTGGGAACAAGGATGCGAAGAAGGCGCGCCAGGGGAACGACAGACGCCCGGAAGAGATTCCTGAAGCTGTCGTCAAAAATGGTGGTGTCGAGGCCGGATGGCAGCTGAGGATGGCCCCGGTGAGTGGCGCCGATGAGGTGGCCCACTCGTGTATCGGGACACTGCATCTTTGAGCAGCCTTAAGCGAGAGCGGGCAGAGTTCATCGCTGTGGGCAGAGAGGAATCGAAAGGAGCACCTGAGACCGCACGGTCGGATACGACAGCAGACGTTCCCGACACCAGGAGCACGGTAATGGAAGGAGGAGAATCATTCGCCAGGGCGGCAAAATGATTTTTCAGCACCAGCTGGGGGCAGGGGGATGGTTCTTTGCTCTTCTTGCTGCAAGACACCACTTCGACCCAGGTGGTACCGTGTAGTGGTTTTCGGCAGAATGGCCCTGGGCAGGCAGCTGGATCCCAACTCACCGTGTCAGTCAGGGGAGCCTCAGTCATCAAGATCCCACTTGAGTACCCATCCACGGTGAGAGCGGAGATTTGGGGTAACGGGTCGTGAAACAAGAGATGAGGGACTCTTTACTCAGTTTGGTTACTCAGTTGGCCAGGCCAGGCCAAGTAAGGCCAGTGCTGGAACCTGCAATGGAAAAGTGGCTTGTGTCTCCTGGTTGGCCTGTGAATGCCTCAGGATTTCCAAGAAAGAGCTGGAGAAAGTGGCTGTGGAGAGGGAAGTCTGGGCTGCTACATAAACTGCTGCCCCCACAATGCATCTCCGGATAAGTAGAAGAAGATGGATCGATGGATGGATATTTCCACAAGCTAGGTTTGCTGTGTCGACTGGCCTCCAGTTGATTTCAGCGAGAGTCTACAGTATGTTAATGTCAAAATATGTGATTGCCGATTAATTGAGTTCAAGCTATAATTGTCATAGTGCAGTGGGAGTCAACGCATAGACAGGTTGAATAGTCCATTGAAACCTTTAACCAACAAATTCAGGATTTATTTTTAGCAATCGTCTTTCCAACAAGTGAGCCGTTATGACTTAATTCTTTGTGAAGCTCTAAGCACATTCCACAGGTAACTTTTGCTCATTACCTTTCACATGAAAGAGATCGTGCATTTTACGAATTTTACAATATTTCTGAAATTCTATCAAATCCACATGGAGCCTTTGGCTAATTGGTGTTCTTACCATGCCGACTGCATCCTGGTCAAACGGATTCCACTCGACATTGTCTGGGTAATGTGCAAGAACTTTGGATTTAAAGGTTCTCCGTAGCGGACTCTGCTCAAAATTCTCACCTGAAAAGGCGAAGAGGAAAAACAGGACGTGAGAATAAATAGGAGAGAAAGACTCAGCACTAAATAGGCAGGGGTGCGCAGGAAGTGGTTGATCAGTAGCAGGCGCAACTCTAGAGGGGAGAGAGTAAGTCAGCAAATTGGTCTACAGAGGAAGAATGTATTGCATCATATAAAGCTGCCATCTGCATTCCTGACTTTAAAAAAAGCCAGATCAGATAATAGGCAATCTGATTGATGTTCACCAGAAAATTAATGAAAACATTAATAAACAAGTCTTAAAGCTCAAGGTGCTTCCTGACAGCTTTAATGGCAATACACAGAAACACACCAAACAATCCGTCAAGAAAAGCCTGAACTGAGTTTGATTTGAACCCAGAATGAAGCAAAAGTGATGCACACACCAAGGCAGTATTGAAAAGCTCATTCAGAGTTATAGGGGGAGAGTAAACATTGACCAGGCAATGCCAGCGCAGGCAGCACTGGATTCACCAGTGAGTGAGCGCAATGAGAGCAGTGTGTGCGCGCGCGAGTCCGCACAGGAAACAGGAGCAGTGATTGTCAAACATAAGCTTTGCATTGTTCAGCCGCTGCTTGGGGACGTGAGGAAGAGGGAGGAAGGACAAGCTGGGAGGAGAAAATTGAACTTAGGAGTGTGCAAAAAAAGAAAGGGCCAATCCCCACACGGTCTGAAAATAAGATACGAACATGAAAAAGGAACAAAGGAGGTCTACTGAAATATTGTCATAACCGGGTTACAGGTTGAGGGGGAAAAGCTTTGCAAAGGTTAAAACGGGGAAGGAGAGTGTGTGATGGGAGGGTTACCTTCACTTGCCCCTGCCAAATTTCCTCTGGCCCCATCTCTGAATTTAGTAGCCTCTATATACTGGCATAAAGCTACACAGCAAATAAAACAAAAAATATCATTACAAGCCTGGTTGAGGAAATGGAGCGCCTCACTTCTCACATGCTGACACCTTGCTGCATAGAGGCATGAGCTTTTCAGGTTGTTTTTAGGCTGTTATGCCACACAAGCTGGTGTTTGTTTGTTTGTTTTTTTTTTAATTAGGGCCCAACCGATATGGATTTTTCGTGGCCAATGCCGATTTTGGGCATTGGGAAAAAAAAAAATCTACTGATTAACGAGCCATTGAAAAGAAATATAGAATGCATAAAAACTTTTGAGAAAGGAAGTAAAAATAAACTGAGATAATGTGGCTGCACAATTTGAAAACTGGGGGTGTGCCTGTGTTCTGAATTATCTCATCACTTTCAGACTCATGTTCAGTGAGTATAGAGGTACTGGAAGTCCATGGAGTCAGCACACATCTGCCACAAAATAAAGTGCCTCTCATTAACCCGAAATAAACTTCACCTGATCTAGTAGGCTTTTCTTGACATTTTTGTAGTCGCATCTTACAGCGCATGCCATGGTTCGCAAAGAGCTTCTGTAGCATCAGAGGCATCGCATTGTTCAAAGGTTATCAATCAATCACGGCAAGGTTACGGAACAATTTCCACGCATTATGACTTTGAACGCAGTAAAAATGTTGACTTTGATATTATAACTGTATAAAGTACCTCGTTACCAGTACTGAAACAACCATGGCAAAAACTTAACACATCATGTTATTATCTTTGTCTTGTGATGTATGTGTTAGTGTAAAAAAATAATAATAATTGGGGGGAGGGAGGGTTGTTTTTTGAAGATTGACAGATTTTAAAAGAATAATCAGTAAGAACCGACAAAAACCGAGGACTCCCTGTACAGCAGTTGTCTGTGTGGAACTGTCAGTCCTGTGATCGTGTTGGTCAACTAGAAAATACTCACATATTTAACATATTCAGTCATACCTCGGTTTTCGACCATAATCCGTTCCAGAAGGCTGCTCGAAAAGCGACTTGTTCGAAATCCGAAACTATTTTATTAGCCCATGATGAGGGGCTAATACACTTTGCAGAAATAACATAAAAACAGTCAGATGTGCATAAATCACAACAAACACGTCTGCTCACGATGAACGCTAAACGAGGAAGCGTCACTTCCTCGTGGTAAGGAAGCCGAGAGGAGTCAAGTGGCGTATTCGGGTTTGCTCAGTCGAAAACCAATTTGGTTGAGAACAGAAACGTTCGAAAACCGAGGTTTGACTGTATTTCATATTCAGGGTATCACTTAATTCACTATACATTTAACCTTTTTGATTTTAGATATCATTTAGACAGATATTAAGCCCTCAGCGTTTTGACAGTTCAGTCTTTGCAGCTTTTATAAGCATATCGTTCCCTCATGGCTGCCCATGACTCACCAATTGACAGGACGCTAAATTTGTGGCACAAATTTGAGAAGCTGCATGGTGATCTCACTGCTCCAACACGCATTTCAGTTTACGCTATGGCAACTTTCTCAAAACCACTGATGAAAATGCCAAACTCCTTCAGCAGGCGTTCACACAAAACCAGGAAATGTCCTTCCAAAAGACTGCAACGGAATTCAGCATCAACAAAAGCTCAATTCAGTGGATGCTTTGGGGAATAATAAAGCTTTAGCGATACCGATTTCAGGTTGTTCAAAGGCTTCAAGCAGAACATTTTCATGCTCACCAAATGGAAGTTGCTAAAGTGTACTGTGACAATGACTTTTGGGAGATGTGTTTCCTATTCATGGATATTTCTGTGAAAAATGTAATGGGACTCCATGAATAAGGAGAGTAGAATCCATTGGACACGTATTTTCTGAGAAATTATGTAACATTTCAAGCCTGTTTTGGCCATTGTGACCTCAAGCTAAAACATGTCAAGGTGGAGAGGGCTGTCACAAATATGGGCATCGAATCGGTGGACAGTCATGGGGTTGACTTCCGTGAATGGCTCTTGTGTAACTAACCCCTGGAGCAGAGGATCTGAGTGAGGTTATCTGAACAGAAAAAAAAAAAGTCTCACTGGAGCCAGTCAAAGCTTTTTGCTCTCCATGCACACTATTTGTTCTGTTTCACGTGAAAATGAAAATGGCAAGACTTGCTCCAGTAGTGAAAATATATATTTTTTAAAACCACACACATACACAAAACAAATATAAATGGATCGCTGAACATTTACGTTCGTAATTGGTTCTCTTATACATGAATATATTAATTAAGTTGCGTGCATCATGCTCTAATGCACAGGTGTCAAACTCAAGGCCCGGGGGGCCAGATCCAGCCCGCCACGTCATTTTATGTGGCCCGCGTATGCAAATCACGCGTGTCAACTTCCATGATCCTTGCTCAAATCTGGATCAAAATGTCAAATTGTCATGTGAAATAAATAACGTTGATATTTTGCATAATTTTATACTTTTTACACTCACTTGGACAATAATTGAATAAACAACAAACATTTGACTGATTTCAAAACTAGTAATCCATCAATTTAATTTGTTGTATATAAGTAACAATACGATGCGATGATTAAACATTTATTCGATTTCACTGTCGTAATGGCCCTCCGAGGGAAAACGTAACTCCAAAGTGGCCCGCGACAAAAATGAGTTTGACGCCCCTGCTCTAATGTGCATACGAAAAGAGCAATGGAAGCTCACTATTACTTGCTCCCATGAACTAGTGTTGCCTCTGGGCTGTTTGGGCTCATGAAATGCAAATTTTCCATGACAATTGCAGCTAATAAAGATAAAATTGGATATTTGCAACATGCCTGTTTGACCGCCCCAAAAAATGAGTGAACGGCTAAAGAGTCATCTCAAGTCTTACATTGGAAAATGCATCCGCAATCAACTGCTTTATTTGACAATAATGCTACAGTTGTTTAATCAATGGTTTGATCGGTCTGTGAGAGGGTCATAGAGATGCTGATAACCCGCCCACATTTCAAATCATTAATAACACAAGACTACGAGGGGATGACCACACTCTGGAGTCAACCATAATGATTGGATTTATTCTTTCTTATTTAATCCTAAACGGATGGAAAGCTTGCGGTTATTCTGACCAGTGGGTGACACTGTGTAGAGATGTGTGTGTGGGATTACGTCCACTGTCTAATCTTCTTTCAACGCTTGCAGTGCAAGAGATGTTGAGTGGAGACAGGAAGTACTGCGCGGATACCCGCAGCAGATTCATTACACTAATAAACCTTTAAATCTTCAGGATTAAGAGAATTAAGATGTTGTTTTCTTGCACCTCAACACTGGCCACATGGACACAAACACGCTAAAACTTGTCATTATATAATAAGAAGCAATGCATAAATCATAGGCCAAGGTGACAAAATTAAAACGGTATTAAAGAAGTATTTATCAAATCTGTATTCACAGTCAAACCGTGTACGCTACACATTGTGCAAATCAGAAAGTAATCAAAGCACACCGACAGGAACTTATTTTGGAATTAAAAAAAAAAAAAAAAACTAATCATGTTCATAATTAAACACAAGGCAGGTGGAAATGAGCGAACAATGATGTTAACGGGATCGTTCTCTCTAGTTCTTTTTGCATCTGAGTTACAAGCTGCATGTTGGAATGTGAGACACGCTGGGCCCTGAGCCTCTGTTTTCATTTATTCATAGAAGACTGCACAGGTGTCAACTGTCTGAAACTCTCGGCTTCCATTTACTGTGTACATATTTCCCTGACGTTATTCAAATATACACACTCAAGTAGACTTGATTGCAGACCACAAGGTGTTGCGTATTTTGGAAGGTGACCCTAGTCTATGTACATTATGTCTAAAATATGGGATTGGCTGGGTCTGAGATGGCAACAATCCTCACATCATGAACACTTCTTTGATTTTGTAAAACACCGACGTTGACGACAGTGAGAGTATGTACTTGTAGCAGTGGGAGTAAAGCATCACCAAGCTCTCAGTTTCACACCATCTATAATCCAGGAACCACCCACTCTTCTCATACGTGGAGCCTCCTGGTGTGGCATTTGCCCAACATTTGTGACTTGAGCAATGTACTCAATCAGGACTTTTCTTTGTTCATGATGGGTTAACATTTTTGTAGGAGAACACAAATCTTTTTTTTTTTTTTTTTAACACCGAATGTGTGAAAAGCTGTGATGTTTGTTTCAAAACAGGTACCAATAGCTCAGTCAACGATAAAAGCATATACATATAAGGTCTGTAGGTGTTTTTACTCATCCTTCAGTTCAAACATCTCACCAATTACTACAAGCCTTTAGGCAATGCATTGGACAAAAATTAAAATCCCCAAATTGTTCTTAAAAACCCCACTGATAAACTTAACATGTAATGGTTACAACATCTCTGACATTCATGAAAAAAAAAAAACGCATCAACATCGTCAATCATTCAGGTGGGCGTAGCTTTTGTTCGAAATATTGCTATTTTGGTTCAACAGCTTTGCACAAGTTCATACATTTACTTTGCAACTATGCCAAGTAGCCTATGCCTGCTCTTTTTTATTTTTTGGCTCCTATTGGAAGCTGGCTGTGTCGTACAAGTCCCGGTGCTCTCAGGCCACAATGATGATTTTGTCTTTCATTGTTTGACCACTGTTTAACTGCCGTGTATGTGATAGAGTATGCACGTTCTCAAAGGTGTTTGGCTCCAGTGCAGCTGTACAAATTCACCCCTCTTTGTCAACTCTACTAACTTTATATGCAATCACGTGACAAGAGTGTCAACTCATGTTCAGTATGACCACAGTATATATCGTATCCTTGTTTAGCGAAGGTTTAGCGAGTCTCGTCACCAACTCAGCTATTTCCGACTTTGTTCAAACAGCACGCCGCCGCTTGCTGGTTGCATCTGTGATTGGCTGAATTGCATGATGAACGCTATTTTAAATCAGATGTTAAAATGTTTTTGTTTGTTTAATTACCACCCCCCCCCCCAAAATGTTGCTGCTTCATTCATATTCAACAAACAATAACA